TTTCTAATATATAGTGACTTCAGAGGTGATGCTTTTATATATGTGGCTTAATTTTTTAATATATTTAATTATTTTTAAGAGAATTAAAATACTTTTTTTCATATTTTACTTAAATAAAATAAAAATATTTAATTATTATCTTTAATAACAACTTTTTAAGATTATTTGTTTACTTATAATATTAATTATTAAGTAAAGCTATTCATGTCTTTATTCGTAATTTAATATTGAAAAGCACTTTTTGAAAAGTTTGGCCTAACACAAATTATTATTCAAAAGTGATTTTCAGAGTGATTAGCCAAATGAAAATTGCTTTTTCTAAAAGTACTTTTTCGAAAAACACTTTTAAGAAAACACTTCTCAAAATAAGTTGATTTTTCCAGCTTGGCCAAACAGGCTATTAACAAGCTCTTTGTTTTGTTCTCTATGTAGGATTGGGCCTTCCTATAAAATTGCAGGTTGTATAGCTGGTAGGGAAGCAGCTGCAGTTCCCAACAACTTTTTGTAAAACCAGTCACCTCAGTTTCAATATATGCCTCTGATTGCATTGCATTTCCCATCAAATACTTATCATTATAGAGTAATGTACTTGTTAAATAATTTGATTGTATAAATATTTTTATTTGTCAATACATAGAATCTATATTCCTTTTTTGAGTTTTGAAACGATCAACAATTAGAAACAATAGAGATGAATTAGCATATTATATTATACATGATGTAGATCTGAAAAAGTTACTCAACTCCGTTATTTTCACCAAACCAACCAATTTAACTTTAAAAGTAACAAGTTAAAATCAATAATATATGTAAATGTTAGATGTGAGTAAGTGAAAATAACAAATCAAATCATGGCATGTTAAATTTCATGTGAGAGGAGCATGGTCGATTTGATCTAAAAGATATTATTATTTATTGGTCAAATTGTGAATACCAGTGTTTTAAAAGGCGTTTTCGGGGCGAGCCCTGGAGCGAGGCGCACCAAAAATGCCTCGAGACAATGGTGTGGGGCGAAAGTCTCAAGAGGCCTACGCCCAGGCGTTTGAGGCGTGATTTTTTAGTGAAGCGTAAGCCCTAGAAATTTTTCAAATTAAAACAAAATTTGTTGAGTAAGTCCTTCATATAATACTCAAATTCTCAAAAGTCAGCTTTGTAATTACTTAAATTTTTTAAAAAGGAACTGAAATGTATTAAATTTAAAAGCTAGGACCTTTTCTTATTGAGTGAAGTCCTAATTCATGGTCTTTCCAAATTCTTTATCTTATCCGCTAGTCTGCTAATATCTCCCAAAAGCAACGAATATTTAAATTTTTTTTACAAATACAAAGAGAAATCTATTCTCTTTCATAGCAGCAATTTCAAAGTTCAAATTGCAGGTTAGTCATCCTTTTTTTTCCTCCATATAGAAAACTTTATTCTTTTAGACTTAAGTTACTTGTGCTTGTAAGTAGCGTATAATTGATTATTTTTACTAGTTTTTTGTGGGGATGGAGCACGAATATATATATATATATATTTATAAAATATTAAAAATTAAATATCTATAGGACTTACGTCCTGTGCCTCGGGGCGTACGCCCCGAGGCATATGTAAAATGCCTCACCTTACGCCATGATTTTCAATTCGAGACTCGAGCTTTCTTTTTTGTTTATATTTCTTTTTTGGGCTATTAATTGATATCAAAATAAGCATAACTCCAAGTTCAATATTTTATGTATGTTTTTTGAAAAAGAAGTCTCTGCAATCAAGCCAAAAATGAAAAGGTCCAAAGTTTAAAAGTAGACCTTGAAAGTCAACAAAAGAGACGGTACACGAAGTCAATTTATATCCAGTATGAGAATAATTCATATTTGAATAGTTCAACTTACAATTATTTTTATATTTTTCCCCTTTATATTTTGTTGATGGCAATATTTTTTTTTTAATTTATTATCATTAATTAAGAGGGTGTTTGGTCATTGATATTATTAATTGGCATTGTTAAAGCAGCATGGTGTACGATTATGTTGTTAAGATATAATTTTAGAAAGACTTGCAATTATCATTTTATTTTGGTAATTATTTATTCATTTGCTTGATATTTAAGTAGATTATACTCTCGTCATAATCTTCTTTGTTTATGTCAACTATTTTGTTGAGAGGTTTGATTAGTTAACAAATTATTCTTTCTTAGAAAAAAATCCATCTATGTTTCTAGGAAATTTCGAATCTTAAAAAATTTCCATTTTGTTAATGTAGGGCCTCCATTCCCTAGTCGCCTTTTGCCAACATTAGGGCTCCAATCCCTGAGTTGAGCCTTTTTAGACATAGGGCCTCCATTCCCTAGTCGCCTTTTGCCAATATTAGGGCTCCAATCCCCGAGTT